TGCAATGGCCCGCGCAAACTTTGGCAGATTTCCCTTGGGTACCTTGATCTTTGCTGGAGCCGTGTCACTTGTAACGGTTGCTGCAGGTACGATTCCGCGGATCGAAAGATGGTCGCTGGTCATACACTCCTCCCGATCGACCCAAGCGCGGGCTCCAGATATGTTTGTCCAGGCGAGATCCAGAGTATTGCCAGCTTTATGGGTCGGCTCTCCAATTATAAGGCAAGAGAGATTGTGGTTTTCTGCCCACCTCTCTATCTTATCACCCTGTCCATACGGCCGAGTTACTCCTGGCTGCCAGGCAGCATGCACTGAGTTGAAGTCCCCGGCTGCAATGGACTTTGCAGAAGGTTTCCAGTCGAAAAGCGGGCGAGCAGCAGTCGAGTCTTTAGGGGCCTTATAAACGTTGAGAAAAGTGATTCCATTGACCTTTACCCAGCAGTAATCACCAGTAGGTGTGGAATAAGGAAATAACTGTTCTGCTAATATAACATTTTTGGACTTTCGAGTGTATGTCACAGCCCTCGGTCTGACATCTACACCTCCGTGCGGTGTATGACAGATATAACCTGGGTGTGATATGGTTTCTTTTGATCTTAAGTTCCATCGCGGTTCTTGAATTAGCACTACATCTACGCCTAGCTCATAAGCTCGAGAAAGCGCAATGTTGTGGGTTGTGCCACCCCTGCCTAAGTTTATTGACATAAAACTTAGTGTTGAAGGGGGGCGAGAAGGGGCCCGTAGGGCGCCCTTCACAAAGCTTCTTCAGGGTTCAAGGCCCCAAAGCCCGAACCCTCAGCCATTGCTGTGTCTGTCGAAGATGTGTCCTTACCAACAGCTGGAGAAGCTGGTCGGGTCGCTCTTGCGGCAGCTGTAGCAGCCTCTGCGGCCTTAGTTGCAGCTTTGGCCCTGGCGACGGCCTGATATTCCCGTTGGCCAGCTTGTCGGATCGTCACAAGTTGGTCCTTAGTGGCTGGGCCAGACCTGTTGGGACGCGCCAGGCAGTCTCGATTGCCAGATTGGTGGGGCCCTCCGCAGTTTCGGCACTTGGTTGGAGCTTTACACTCGAAGGCTGAATGCATGGCGGATCCACAGTTCCAGCAGGCGGGTGCACGAGAGCATCCGCGGGTGGCGTGGAAACCGAGACATCGCCTACACTGCTGTATGGGAGGGCGGTTTCGTTGGATTGTAGCGACTCCTGAGTCGTCGAAGAGCCTGAAGCCCGGCTTTGGGCTAGCTTCTTTTGAGAAGAGAGCCGCCCAGGATCTGTAGGGGGCCCCGAGCTTGGTTATACCGTGAACTCTTACTCGGTCTGGAGTGTAGTTAGTTACCCTGAAGATCTCTGCGGCAACCATTTCGGGAGTGACTTCGATTCGTCCTTCTAGGTCGAACACAGCGACTGGAACCGTAGCAATCCGGAGGGAAACTAGATCACTTGGTGGTTCTAGTTTTGCCTCCACTTGTGCGAAGGTGCTGGAGGCCTCCAACAGTCGAGTTTTTGCATCCGGGTTTTTGGCACGGATGGCAAAGCCAGTGGGAACGCGTTGCACCTGGTCGACATCGGACGGGGTGCATTGCGTATGTTTAGCCACGGCTTCGCGAACGCCAGCCGGAGAGAGCTGTCTCTACTCGTGGTTTGCATCGAGACGCAGGAAGAGTCGGTCATCTTTCGATGCTGTTGTTGCTGCTGGCTTCTTCTCCGGTTTCCTGGCAGATGGAACAGCCGAAACCGAGGAGATGTTTGCAGGAGCCTGTGCTCCTGACTTTTGGTGTCCTGCTCTGGTGACAGTGGCCCAGGTGCTTCTGGGCTGAAGAGGTGCAGTAGCCTTTGAAATATTCCGGGGAACGGCTACTGGGATGACGGTCGCAGGGGGAGTCGCGACATTTGGTCGTTGGGGTAGGACTGGCGGAGCGGTGTTTGGCCCGGCCGCCACGAATTGCGCGATTGCTGCCCTTAGGTAGACCTTTATGGAGTCTACAAAATTTTTGTCTTCACCGGTGGAGAGCGGTTGAAGAGCTACCTCGACACCGCTAATAGCCATCGAGCATATTGTGAATAGCGCGGCTTTTTTTCTTGCCCTGCGCTCCTCCGCTTCGATCGCTGCAAGCAATTCTGGAGGGTATGTATTTTTTCCGCCTGCTGCTTCTAGTGCTGGAGGCTGCGGGGCCAGTGGAGGGCTTTCGGCTCCTGCTGCCTTAGTGGATGGTGTTTCAGCCCTTTTCGCGGGCCTCACTTCTGCAGGTCGCGGTAGTGCTGGAACCGTGATCCGCTTCTCGGGTGCGACGACGGTTTTTCTGGGGGATCCGGTGGGATCCAAGACTTGCTCTGCGTCTTCTGGGCTGGAGGATGCCCAAACTGAATCGGCGAGGGTTTTTAACTTCTCGACTTCTGCGTCCACCATATCTACCTCGGGGACATTGTTCTCCTTCGCTTGGAGCGCAGCCGCGATGGTGTTCATATTTTGAAGGTTGGACTCGAGTCCTCGCCTTGATAGCATGTTCTTTGCGTGGTTTTGAATGGCGGTATGCCATTGATAAGGTTTGTTGGCGCGATCTTTGGTGATGCCGCTGATCGCGTTTTGGTGCGTTTTACGCGTCGGAGGCATTTTAAGATGCTGCCAATGGCAAACAATTGCGATTCGATTCGTTACTCAGAGGGTGAGATGGATAAAAGGGTGGGAATGGGCAAGTTGGGGGCTTCTCGAATTGTTTTGATGAAGGGTTTGGTTGTTGAGTTTTCTATTATCTCTGTGTTGGGATACACTTTGTCGATCCTACTAGGCTCGATAATCAGTAGTCCCGACCGACTGGTGTTTGGCAAATGGAGATTGCGTATACCCTGTGCTAGCGTTGTTTACTGCTGTTAATAGGAGATCCCGCACGGGCTATCTATTGGGATTAAAAGGAGTCTGGTACCTGTGTTTAGTAGAGTAGTCGAATTGACATCCTTTTATCCTTCATTATTGCATAAGCTTCCCTTTACCAATAAAGTCCACGAACTAAGTAGTTGGTTATACATTTTAATACATAGGACGTTAAACGAAACTAATTCAATTCAATTCAATTAATATAGGCTTTCGGAAATGATTGAGGCTTAGGGATTTCGGAGTAGCCCACATATTACTTCCCAGATTAATTATCTGAGAATATTTAAAATCCAATTCACATACCCTCATGCGTTAGATAGTTCAAGGAAGAGCCGGAGATGGTATTGAGGGATTATTCTGATTTTTTTAATTAATGCTGTATTCAGCTTTTTAGCTATGACAATTGAACTTCACAAATAAGGCAAGTATATAGTATAATTCAAATAACTTTGCAAATTCATCTTCTAACGAAAATTAACGAGAATAAAATAAATTCTTCCCATATTTTGTACTACAGTACACCTATTCCTCTCCTATTCCCAAGGCTCGACCCTCACTGTCCACAAGAGCATAGTTAAAAATTGTAAAATTGGAATATAAAAAATGTAGCTAGTATCTTATGTGTAGATTCTAGGTGTCCTCTATAGTCATTGACTCAGTTAGGACTATAATAAAAATCTAATCTAATCTAATCTCCTATTCCCAATGTTTGTTTGCCTAATACATCTCCTTAGTATAATGATATACACTTTGGAGTTTTCAAAAATTGTAGTAAGGCTTCCATTTTTCTTTTAGTGATTCTTCTGATTGTAAGAAGCGGAGGAAATGGCTTATCCAGATCTCCAGCTTCGCAATTTGTATTATTCTCGATTATAGTCTTCTGAGGTACCTTGTTGCCACACTCATTATCAAAATCTACTTCCTCTTAAGTTTTCCAATCTCCATCGTGAACCTCGCTACTCACTTATCAACTTTGAAGACGACGAGTTCTACCCTTTGGGAATCTCGCCGTATCAGTTGTGGACGTACGGGCCCTCAATTTTGTCAAGGATGCCAACACGATCTTGTGTATTTTTAAGGGGTTGTAGTGAGTAGCAGGGTGTCGCTTCAGGCTACCTCATGTATACATGAGTGGCTGTATGGCTGTATGGCGTGGGCACGAGGAGGTTATTGGGGGTTTTCTATGCCCACATGGCCCCACACTCATTACTGCTGTGGCTTAGGTTCTGTGTTGCTTACACTTACATTTGCACTTGTAGCGCACTCTTCCCACTCTTCAAGGTGAAATGAGGATATGACACTCTTTTAGTCATCTTCTACTTTCGTTTCATATATATTGCGCACATTTCATTGCGCCATATTTCAAACAGATCACAAGTAGGTTCATAACACCGAGTGCGTGTCACTATGGCTGATGAGTCCCAGTTGGTATGAAATATGTGCTGGTATTAACAATGGTACCCTACTAAGGTACCAGATTCGCATTGCAACCATTGATAATATCACCTAATGGATGAGGTTGGGTATGATACTAATTCAATAAATACCTCACAAAGCCCGTCAGGTGTAAAGATTGTCAACCACATGAATAGCGTCAGTACATTAGCCCCTATTCTCCACCCTTTCCTAGTATACCAGTCCAGCCCCCTTCTCCTAGTCTCCAAACATTTCAACTGAGCTAGCATAGATTTTAGTGGAAATAAAACCTCTAAAAAAAAGGTAATTTTATTTTGCATCATGCTTCCGATTGTTTACTCAGGCTATTTGCCTTCATCACTAAAATCAACGAAAGACTAATACTCAGGCTCGTCGAGTTATTTTCAACCAACCTTGTCACTTTTTATCCTCCATTATGTAACTACAGTGCCATGAAGTGGTAAAAATTTCAAATACAAACTAAACTTCTTTTCGCCAGCATTTGCTCCAAGAACTGTAACAGTTTAAGCCCCGTGTTGGGCTATATACCAATCAACCACGCCTACATAGACCTGCTCCTCATTTTCAACAAGTATCCAGTGGTTAAGTTTCCCGTATCTATCATTGGTCACATAACTTTCATATCCTATGGGTAATTCAATTTTAATGTTGCCAAAAGCTAGGATTGACTTCTTACTTTGGTTATGCCATTGAGCATTAACTTGAACAGGAATTAGGAATGGGAGTTGAAATTTTTGAGCAAGTCTTTTTTGTATAATCATCTGGCGATACCAGTGGAGTTCTATCCCTTTGTATTTTATTGATACCGGCTATGATTTCGGGATATAGGCTATCATATGGCTCTGCACCACGTTCCATCCTTGGGACCAGTGTAGCAGCAGAAATTGATGTTGCTAGGCTTAGCAGCACAATAATTCCGGAAAGATGTAGGAACTTCATATTCTTCTAGCCTAGATTAATTTTAGGACAAGATATACATTTTATCTGTAACTCACACTTAATTTTCTATGAGCTCGATTTATTTCACGTGAACAAGTGGAATGGAGAATAAACTCAGCGAAGTAGAGAGTGGAATGAAGCTAGTTTCTGGAAACTTGAATGTGCAGGAGTCGAGGAGAAGGTGGTTAAAATATGTGAAATTAGTATTGTATTGCTATTCGGAATGATATGGCTGTACCCAATACAATATCCGAGAGCAAGCATGACTCATAGAAGCTTGAGATCCATATAAATCATTTATTTCATGATATTTTTACACATTGTAAAGTCCCATGGAATAATGAGCAGTATTAAACGAGAGTGACAGTGTGAATTGGGAACCTGTACTATAAAATTAAGATACTCAATCCTTGCATATTGGATAATGATTTTGTAGAGGCAGATGATGTATAGTTACAGATCACTAGTTCATAGCTGTTATAAATATATATATGTATATATATATATATATATATATGTTATTGCTAATGTTGTACTATTTCAAAGTGTTGGTTTGGTTGCGGTCAGAAACAGTGGGTAGATATCAGGATAGAGACATGGCTCAGGACAAGGACTTTTATCTCAAACTATGCGCAAAATAGGAACATGACTTACAGAATCGGAGACATAATTTCTGGAAATATGGGCTCTCTATTTGTCTAGATTACCAACACAATTCCACGCGTGTTGTGTGTGGGTTTGTTGTACTGCTCGAGTCATAGACTGTCTAGCAAATTAGGTTCCTCTCTGACCCAGGCCACACCTTAGACAGTGCTCGTATCCTCTTTTGTCACTTGTAAGATCATTGATAAATTGCCCTTGATGAATAGCCATTCAGCTCAGTATTCAAGCATGGAATCCGGCCATATTTTCCACGACGCCTTCTCCCAAAAGAAAAATAAACGGTACCAATCGAAACTGCGTGCACGGGAAAAATTCTCGAGAAACCTGCAGGCCCAGCCAAGCGAGGCCTGACACCGGAGGGCAAGACTGACACCTGTACGCGGTGTCCTCTACGAACCTGGGAGTGAAATATTCTCCCAGAGCCAAGTTCAGTCAAATTTCGCAATATCAAAGAAGTTGGCCCACGAGGCAAAAATTCAAATTACTCCACCATGTCAATCTTTCACTCCCAAAGAGTCCGATTCTCAACTAAGCTTCATCAAGTCTACAAGTACGACCTAGTACATCCTCGTTTCAATGACCACACCTCTCGTCGACTTTCTCTGGCCTCAGCCGGTCACCAAATACACGCCCACGCCGATATTTATACCCGACGGAGGAAGCAAAGCGTGGAGCACAAATCTGGGAGATAGCTCTTTGGGATGGACGTGAGAGGGATCAGGACAAGTTCACAAGATGATGCAGAAGAGGGATACGTTTTCGACGGGCGTGAAATTTCGAATTTTGGCATGGAGTTTTACGAATTGAGCTTTGTGCGCGCCAAGGCTTCGCTTGCGAGAGTGCAGCTCACACTATAAAAACGAGCCAACGATGGAAGGTGTTGTGGTCTGCCTCCTGGTGATGTTCTCTGGTATGGTTTGAGTAGCCTGGGCACCTACTCCACTTGGGAAGGAGACATCTCAGATTACATTTCGCGCGGAGAAAAGTTGATGGATGACGGAGGCATGTCTGGATAACTCAGGGTTTTTGAGACGTTCCCCTGGGTGGGTATTCACGGATGAGGGTTGACTTGGGGTGAAGAAAAAGCCACCATAACTTCGCAGTGGTACTTGCAAATGAAATCCGAGGCATGAGTGCTCTTCTTGTAAATTGAGTCATCTTTTCTATACTTTTCTTTGATATTGTGTCATAGCTAGATAGCTGCATACGCAATTAAAATCTGATGCAAAAAAAAAAAAAAAAAAAAGAGGCCTGACACCGGGACCACACGAGGTGCGCATATTCATCAATATTTTCCTTCTTTATAACATTCGAGGCCGAGTGTAAGGGTCGTAAGATAGATGTTATTCACGAGCTATCCAGATCTAGGTACAAAAGATAATCTTAAACTGAAGAGGGAGATATTTGGGGGAAACCCACTATATGAATAATCTGGCTTTATGCCAAGGTTTCGAGTTACTATTAATTCATTTTATTATCCTGTCTGAGTCTATGACTATATAGGACGTGCAGGTCCTCTCGGCCTACAGGCCAAGGATACCTATACCAGCAGGATATCCCCTCAAACAGTACCGCCCCTCACAAGTCCTCATTAGATCATATACTTAGAGGAGCCCTTTGCCCTTCATAATCTCTCCTCTCTAGCCAACAAAACTGACAGACTAGGATCAGAGCCCGGTGGAATTCGTATTCCTGAATTAATGTTTCGTGATTCATGTAAATTCCATTCTTCTAACATGATCGTAACATTATTGTCAGAATAATATGCCAAGCTGGTACCTGACATAATTTGTGATTACCTCAGGAAAACCTTGGCGTTTTGGGTAATTTTCAGCTAGAAAATACTTGGAGTCCGTGTAACAGACGTGGTGGACTGGTATTGAGTATGTTTAGGATTACATCTTGGCTACAACATGTTTGGATTGTATCCTGTGATGTAAGGAAGCTTTTTCTAGATATTATCATCTTATGTCAGGTAGTAGATATGTGTAGATGTATAAGCTGAGAGAAAGAGGAAGGAAGACAGACAGACAATTACATCCTTTCATTTACTTCAATTGAAAGCTCCTGTGCGAGCTATTCTTCTAGATACCTCTAGTATCAATCATTACAGCTTCCGAACCAGCTCAAAAGGTTCGACAGAAACGATGGCCATTTACGGGTGTATGGCAGCCGTGAAAAATCGTAAAAACCAGTGGGTGCGGAGCTCTCCAAATAGCGACATTATGACTAAATTCGAAGATATAGTGAGCCTTCTGAAGCGTTAGAAGAGGCCAGCCAGCTGGCCGCTGCGGACTTGTGTGTAACTCAGAAAATTCACCCTCTGCCTTTCTAGCTTCACTTTAACTTCTTTCCGAAGGTCATGCTGAAATTTCAGAAAAGCCTTGACTAAGCGTTATTGCTGTATGGCAGCTTAGCCTAGCTTCTTTTGTGCCGTCTAGGGCCTTGGGGATTGCCGTCGACTCATCCACAGTTGAAGTCCTCCTGGCTAATTAGCCGAGATCTCGCTCTTGGCGCCCAGAAACATTCCTTAGTCCAAAACCCCTCAGAAATGTCGGTCCCAGCATGGTCTTCAGAGACCTGGTTCCCCTCTCGCTCCACGTCTCAGGCGCCTGTTCTCCCTCAAGGTTGTTTGTCCCAGTAGAGCAAGAGTCTCTTATCGACTGTAAAACTCGATCGTCGACTTTGTATGTGTAAGTCTGTTATCACAGACACTGTAAATAATCCATGGTATTGCTTAATGAGAGGCTAGGATTGATTCCGACTGAATTTAGTAGAAGTTTTGTGCCAACTATCAGAGGGCTACAGCGTCTTTATCTACAGGTATATTCCCCATTTTCCAACCACGCTAGCCATACAGGAACTAGGATATAAAACTTGATTTGTATCATCATTTTGCGCTTGCAACTTACCGTGTATTTTGCTACTTGAATTGCATGCCTTCTCCCCGTAAGGCATGCTCAGGTATCAATCTTACAACTCACACCAAACCGAATCTACTCACAGTCCTAATTATGACCCCATGAATAATTAAAACAGTATAATACGGGATACCACAACTAGGCTAGACATCGTTGATCAGGACCTAAACCGAACAGTCCCCCATGAGCCAAGACCCAGGTCCTTTACTTTTCGACTTGATTTCCTCCTTGCGGGTTTAAATAGCGTTATAAATATGCAGCGGGATATGGCTGGAATTTATTGGGGTAGGCTCCTGTTTGCAATTGGAGTAACTTCTTTACTGGTCGTTGAGGCGAGATGATATGTGGTTAGAGAGAGGTTGAGGACTCAGAAGAAAATGGTGAGTTTTGCATGATTGAGAAGTCGTTAAATGGAGATATGCATATGTTTGCTTGCGACTTCGATTCGGATGCAATTTTTCTTAGCCATCTCAGATGTATAGAGCATACTGAGCCGTTATACCGACACCACTGAAAGATGAAGAATTCGTCTTTGCCTGCTCGTTGGTAGTTGAAATTTGATTAGATGGAGTTTGTTGGACTATTTCCTCGCTGGCCAATTTCTTTGGTATTGCGAAATTTGACTAGACTTGGCTCTGGGAGAAAGTTTTACCAACAGGCTCGTAGAGGATACCGCACACAGTTAAATCACTGCCCTCCAGAATCAGGAATTTTTTTTAAATCATTTAATTTATGTTCAGTCATCTAGCTATTACACATGAACGGTGCTATGTATACATGTGGGGTGACTCTTTTGACGTTAGAGACACTCATACTTTGGATTTCATTCGCAAATCCACTATGAGGTCTGTTCGCTTACACAAATAGTCGACACTGCTACGAAAGTACTCAACTAAGCGAATTTCGAAGCCTTTGAATTTCCGAGCATGCCTTCGTCGTCCATGCATGCCATCACTGCGAGAAAAGTGGTTGTGTTTTGCTGAATTCGAACCAGCGATCTACTGTCTCAAGTGGGATATGTGTCCAAGCTATCCAGACTCTACTTGGCAGGCCTACCAGGACGATGTACCACCGCACCGTCCAACCATTGCGGTATTTATGGTGTCGCCTACATTTGAAATCAGGACTATTAAGCTTCTGTAAACGAGACGGAAAATGTATCCGTCATTGTCACTACCTTCGACATGAGGACGAAGACTGAACATCTGTAAGTGGTGTCCTCTACGAACCTGGGAGTGAAATATTCTCCCAGAGCCGGGATTCAGTCACGAAAAAGGGTGGGATGAATTTTTTTGATGGATTTTCGACTTGAAGGAGTTGCGCTTGATATTTTGGTCAAAAAATCAGCCGGCAGAGATTTCACATCCGGAAAAAAGTTGAACAAAAACTCATCACCACATACATACGATTTACGAATGTGCCCAGGCTTGTCTGGGGGTCGTATTCAAACATCCGACATCTCTCAAATTCCTCATGTATTTGCGACAAAGAATTTCTCAGTCGATCCTATACCTACGACCCACCTCTGTACTCGTCCATCTATCTATACACGCCCTAATGAGGAAAGTCATGATGGAAACGGGACGTGCACAAAGGAGGAAGAAAAGGGAATATACACTGAGGGGATCGCACAAATCCCCGATGACAACAACAACCCAACGATACGATATGAAGGTGCAAGGCTAGAGCAACAATGAGATCTTGGACGGCATTTATATTTCGGAGTCAATGAGGATGTCAATGGCTCGGGCGCGTGGTGGCTGAGGCTGAGGAGGACATTGCGCTACGGCGTGTATACAGCGGGTTTCTGGACGGTTAGGCTTGGTATGATTCAACACATAGGTGAAGTCTGAGGTGGTCCGGTCATTAAAGTGGGATGAGGTATATCTGCACTTCACCGTAGTTAAACTGATCCGGCCCAACCCCACTCGTGCCTAAGCTCCAGTAATCATGTAACCTAGCACGTTAATGAACAAAACAAAACTACCTTCGATAATTTTTCTATTTTTGAGCGTCTTTTTCTTAGGTTTCTATTTTTATCCTTTAACCCTCTAAAGACGTATTGAATTCCACAATTAATGAGCATAAAAACTGAATAGTGGCAGGACAAAGACTGGACACCAATTAGTGATGTTCTCTTCGAACCTGGAAGTGAAATTATTTTCCAAGAGCCAAGTTCAGTCAAATTTCACAATACTCAGGAAGTTGGCTCGCAAGGCACTGATTCATAATTTTTCGCCACATCAATCCCTCACTCCCAATGATATTGATCCACCCAAAAGCCTCATAAAGTCTGCAAGTACAACTTAGTACCTCCTCGTTTGAATGTCAGTATTTCTCGTCGACTCAGTCTCCGGACTTTGATGACCTCCAGATATATGCCCACTCCGACATGAATATTTGAAAAAAGGAGGCAAATCTTGGAACGTAAGTATGGGAGACGGATATTCGAGAAGGAAGTAAGAGGGATGAGGATATAGGTTTGAGATGTTATCAACCCTGGATAACATCTTGGAAGGGATGACAATTTGAATTATTACAATGAGTTCAATGAATTTAAGAGCGTTGTGCGCACCACACCTTCGGTTTCAAACGTGCAGACGACCTCACGCACCGTCACAGCTGGAAGGTGTAGTGGTGCATGATCCGGACCGACCGACTAAGTAGAGTCTGAATAGATTAGGCACATATCGAATAAGAGAGGGGAGTTTGCTGTTTCGAATCCTGCAATGTACGGCTATATTTCTTGCGACGCTGATCTGCCTGGATGACTGATGGTTTTGAAATATCCATTTGTTGAGTGCTCACAGAAGGAGGCTACTTGTCTGAGTTAATGAATATACCTCATAGTGACATTTGCCCATGAAGTCCGGTGTGTAAATATCTCCAATATCTAAAGAGCTATCCGACATTTACACATAGCATTAACCATTTATCATAGCTGGATAGCTGAATACATGTAGATGACATGAAAAATAAGAAAGTCATGTGGATAATAATCATCATTTATATTATAATCTTTCTATGTGTATTTAAGTTGATAATTGAGTGCATTTCACAGCGCGTCTTTGTTGGTACCAAAAAGTTCCATGGTAATGACATTGTTCGTCGAACAACACAAAAGCTTTATTTGGTATCCCATAACCTGTTCCAGTGAAGTCAGCATAATTGGTCAAAACTAGTAGACACTTTCTCACCTTTGATTTTAAACAAAGCTTCTGGTAATTTTATGGACTGCGATAGAGCAAGAAAGACTCCTGCTTTGGGGATTGAAATCCTGTAATTTTCGTCACCAAATAGGCCTCTTGAACGATATACAGCTTTTCGTTTCATCATATTACAGGCTAGCTGCATGTGGCTATTGATGGATTTTCGCGAAAATTCGTGTGAGCCGCAATGGTAACCACTCGCTACTGGAAAGATAGTTTCTCCGATGGAATTCTTATTTATATCTAAGGATTGTCGTGTTAATGGTTCAATTTCATGAAGCTCTTCACATTTTGCCCAGCCATTGATGTTCCTAAACACCATGCCTAACATTTCAAACTGAGGATTGATCACAGAAAAGTAGGGGTTGCGAATATTTTCTATCTATTTGTCAGGCTATCATATTCATAAACTGAGAAATTAATCAGACTACCTATGTTATGATTCGGAGTGTTTGCTATCTCACTAGGCAATAAATAGACGGTCGTTTGATATAACTTGTTGACAGCTATATTGCTATTTAAATGGACGTTGCTTTTTCTATATTTCCACACATTATAGAGTTTTAAATTTTCTTTGAAGTTATGATCCACGTACGATGAATCGAAAATTTCATTCTGGCATCTGAAACCCCGGATAACAGTTGGACTCCTCGGACCAGAACCAAGAGATAAATCATATAAGCGCACTGCTTTTACCGGTTGATAGCATCGTACATCAGGTTTATTTTCGTTGATGGCAATCATCCCGAAGAACTTACAACTCGAGTCTAAAAGCAATCGAAACTTTCCTGCATGGCCTGTACACCTCTCAGTGATCAGCTTGTTGTCATCTAGTACTTTCAGTTGAACAAGTGCCCACCTTTGAAGTAATAATCCCCATCAATTGTGACAGGCCAGGAAAATAGAATAGCATCGTGTATGGAAAAAGTTGCGGAAGGATCGAATTCGGCTGGATATTTAGTCTTACTTGATGAAGTGCTGAGAGCCCAACAGGCGTGATCAATTGCAGTATTGATCCTATCTTTGGGGATAATGAATTGCTCACAAATAAAATCAGATTCGACAACATTTGCGCTAATTGTGTTGACTAGAAGGATTGTCAAGATCAAGTGCAGCGGTGAGAGTCCCTTCATTTCCCTTGTTGAACAAACTTTCGAGTCTCTTCTATCAAGTCTGCCTGAACAGGACTGTACCATATAAACCGCTACACAAGTCTAATCTAAGCATAGGATATGTCTGAAGATTTCCATCTGCTTTCGCGTAGACTGAGTCAGTATCTTGTCATAGATTCTTAGTTCTGTCGGCCGAGTGAAGTGGAAGCCAAGGAATCTGCTCGAGTATTTAATTGGTCATCCCCTTCTTTCATTAGAGGCTGATTCATGTTAGTTGGATGGATACAAATGACTTTTCTGCATCGCTTGAGTTCCTTTAATGTTAGTCTTGTACAGGTGGTCAAGGTCACAAGCAAGAATTTAATTCTGGGGCGAAATGAAGAGTCATTGCCTTTATAAAACTCTTATTACTTTATTCAGAGGGACAGAGAACAAATAATTTTTGGTGTCCTGAACCAATTTGGCAATTAAATACATGTCAGACGCAGTTGGCATCATTAGCACGTCAACATCATACGCTATAGAATTATAGATATTTCACCTCTCGTATTTCGAAGAGACTTTGTTCCAGCTAACACATTCTATCGTCTACCTATCCAGTCTCTATCTGTGACATCGACATGGAAGAATAGAATCTGAGTTGATGGTCTAGCCAACAGAAAAGATACACTGCGAAAACTTTGAGATAATAAGTCTTGATATAGATATAAAGTGTAAAGAGTTTCAAATTACACTGCCTAGTAGAATGATACCTTGATAAGGATTCAACGACCATTCTGAAAATCCCCACAATTGTTCGAGCGGACTTAATACTTATTTAATCATATTTTTAGAACTACTCAGAGCAATAACAGATATCAAGGTGTCGCAAATGGTCTGGTTGTTTTTAAATTTTTAATCGTCACAGTTGAATTTGGACTCTCACATGCTGAATGTTTTGTGAATACTTTTTTGAGATTTGTTTCTTTAGATACAACAGTCGACCATTGTTTGGAGGGAGCTTATTATGCTCAGCTGTGTAGTATGGTAGATCTAGTAGCTGGTGCATAGGTGGTTATTATGGCGCATGAAAAACATCCAGTCTTTACATAACAACAATACATGTAGTACTGTATGCAACTTGAGAGAAGGGTTGTTGATATAGAAAGAATGGCATAGCTGCTCAATTGAGAGCACTCTATGGCGCGCTACATAATGGTTAGGCGATCAGTCTACTAGTGAACAAGCTAGGGGATAAAGTGCGAGTTTCCCCCAATCTGTAACGTAAGAATTAACGTAGTTACTATTAAAATAATACTGGGTTGGATAGTGCAGTGGTACACCATCCGGGCCGTTATTCCGAGCAGTTATGGGTAGCTTTAACACCTACCTCTTTCGAGACTGGGGAAAACTGGTTAGAATCCAGTAAAAGCCACATTCCACACTCTCTCGCAGTGATACTTTACTTGTGGGATGATGAAAGAACAGTTAAATAGCCACAGGTAATCATGCTTTTCCCTGTGGTGGGTATGCACGGAAGGGGTTATCCGCCGTAAAGGTTAACCTCTAGTTGTATCTGCAAATGAAATCTGAGTGTGAGTGTTCTTAACATCAAATTGAGTCATCCTACTTAAAGTACATGTCTTCCGATAACAACCTGCATGGGCCTCAAGGCGCCAAATCAGGATATAGAATTGCATACATTTTAAAATATAATTCCTTTAGACGGGTAATACAGTCGTACTTGAAGTAGAATTGATGAAGTGTAGGGTTGACAGAGCGTGTAAATGACTCTGATCCGTGATCATTTTGGGATACAGCCACTATGTTCCTATTAATATGTGTCTACTAGCCTCGCCTACACGCTAATCTGAAATTGCTAATACAGGGTATGTAAGATCTCCAAACGCCTTGCCCATTTTACTCTAGGGTAAACAATAATCACAGCCATAACTCCATTGTGTTAAGGCACAGGGAGGAATGTGTTTGACCAAAACTCTTATAAATTAACAGTAACTTCACTTCTGAATATTGATGAAGATATCTCTCTACAAACTATCTTAGTTGTTCCAGGGCAAATGTACATTCCCAAATCATGTACCAATCATAATAGAGCTTGGGGAAGAGAAAGATGTGATGCGAAGCCAGGAAAAGGTCATTTAAAGTCATTTTAAATTCCCTGGAGGGCAAACTCTAATCCGGCCGTTTTGCCTGACTTTAAAGCTTTGGTAGGGGTGAGAGTTTGAACAAAAAGAAAATTAGCATTGGAAAAGAAATGAAAAGTGGTATTTGATTTTCTCAAAGTAACTATTGGTTCATATATTTATTTTATTTACTGTAAGACTAACTACGGGTTAGTTTCACGAACGATCGTAATGATCCACTAAAGAGTGGTACAATTCTGTGTTCTAAATGTTTATAATGTCTTGTCTTGTTCTTCCATCATAACACAGGATTCACAAGGGGACGAATCTCAACACCTGTCAGTGGTGTCCCTTACGAACCTCTAACTCTCACCGTGGAGTCTGCAGAAACAAGATTGAGAAAGCCCTTTTCAACTTTGAGCTGAGATATCACCTCCTTCGTCAAAGATACGCTTGCAATAACTTATAAAACGACCAAGACGATGATAATGATGCTGGGAATGAGGAAAGGAAATGCGGTACCAAACGCTACAACAATAGTCAGAGAAGCTTTCGTATGATGGTTTTGAGCTTAGGTTAGTATCACTATGCATGCTGATCTTGTACGAGTATGTAGATTGATGAGTTCAGGTTGTGGTTGAAGGTGTATCTGAGATTCATTATACTTGATTGTTCTATACTAATTGTGTGCAGAGCACTCGCTACTTATACTTGTGTACGGTCGCGAGTCGGCTCCTGACCACATGAGCCTACTCCTGCAGATGTCCCAAACGATATAGGAACTACACATTATTCGAATTCGAAAGCTACCAATGAACCTATATCACTTACAATAGATACACAACTGGAAACCGATGTCACGGTTCCAGTGTTGATGCTGGAGCAATCAGATATACGAAGGTAGTTTATAATTCTCTCTATGGCTAACTATCAGAGTATTACTTCAACTATTTATACATTTATGAAGATCTCTAGAATACTCGTTCTTGGCTGATATCTGCTTCTCGTATGTTCCAGTTATAGTAGTTCCCAGTCTTGCTACCAATTACTAGAATATTCCAGTTACAGCTGAGCTGATCTGGAATAAAGCTAGACTAGTGTGGAATTATAAAAGCACGTGAATACAATCATGTGCCACACAATAATCGGCTCACAAGCTGTTACAACTGACCGAAAAGTCGGCGATAATGCATGCGTTAAGGCGGAGGAAAAAGCCCAGTAGGGGCTGCCACATACACTCGCATTACAAAGCGTAATAAAAAAATTATCTCAAACAGTCATTGTGGAACCTCGGATGCCTGTTGAACTAAATCAAGTTCCCATCGCCCCTCTAGACATGCACATAGATTCTGAGGATGATATCATGGACCTCGAGGCAGAAGATGACGCGCTGCCGACTTTATATCAGCCGCCATCAAACAGCCATGTTCCGTCCGTCCCTTTACAGCGGACTACATCCAAAGTTCCGAAGATCCTGGCAACTCAGGATCAAGGTCTTGATTCATCAATTTTTGCGGTAGCAACCCTCCCCCCTCCGAGCGGCCAAGCTGCTAGAAAACAAGGCAGATGCCTGCCCTAGCCGCGGCAGTACAACACTCCGTGGCCAACCCATCATCGGCCACCACTAACAAACTAGCCACTAGCCTTCTAGTCTGGCAAAATACCGGGACTATCCATCTCCGCTCCCTCCCACCTGCAATAGCGGCAGATCTCACGGCAATCGTCACTCGTAGTGCTGCTAGGGTCATCGCTGGCCTATCTATATTTGATCAGACAACCACAGGCGAAAACCCTCAAACAACAAATCGAAGCGCCGGGCCGGCAACTCGTCAACACCGCCTCGAGACCTCTCAGAAGCAGACGTACGCGACGGCAGCTACCCGAAACCCCATTATAGCGGCTCAGACTACCCCAACAAAGAAGACTGTTACTGTATCACCACCAAAGCAGGCCAAGTCTCTCCCCAAAGTTCCTAAGGTCGACTCAAGGGTTATCGTACGCCTACCGCCCGATCACCCGCTCCTAGGACAAGATACATTTCTCATCCGCACAAGGCTTCGGAGACTAACTGACCGGCCAGAGCTCATCAAAGATGTGCGCATAGTACCCTCGGGAATCGCCATACTAGCGCCCACCGCCGCCCAAGCCCCCGAACTACTTCAAGTAGCTTCGGCATTTCAGACGATTACAGGAGACGCTCCAATAGAGCGCCAGGAAAATCGCAATACATTCATCTTAGGACCAGCCCCTAAGTTTGGCTACAACCATTTGGGGGAACATGACGCCCTCACCATGTCTGAAATTCGGCAGGAACTTGCCACTACAAAGATTGACCCCGGATCAATCTTCTCCATGTTGTGGACTCGCCGCTCTGAACTCTTTCCGGACTACGAAGGGACTATTTGCCTAGTGATAGCTTCCGAGTCTGCTAAAAAGTACCCAACAAACCTGCGACTATTTGCTGGAGCTGTGAAGCTCCGGCAAGTAGACCACCAGCCCCCACTCCAGGTGTGTTCTCGTTGCCACGCGTTCCACAATGTCAATAGATGCACTTGCCGCCCTCGGTGTGGGAAATGCGCCGCAGATTCCCACGTCGGGTCCTGCACCAGACCAGAAAAATGCCTTAACTGTGACGGACCTCATCCATCATCTTCTTCAGGCTGCCCCGCGCGACCCATCTGCGCCAACGCAAGCTTCGCCCGCCCTGATAAAACTAGACTCCGAGCTATCCGAAGCGAGGGCCTAAAGGCCCGGAACGCACTATACCCTCCAATCTCCCCCCCAGGCCGCTACAAGCCCTGGGAACTATCAGGTTCCTACCCAACCCACAAGAATCGCCTCCTCCTCTCCTCCAAAAATTGGACAAGAGTCCCGATACTCCGCCCTGATGACCATAGAGGAATCATTACGATAAATCGAGGCCGGACGCATAAATCCCAATCAATCAACAGTTTGTGTTAA